GCGTAGAGGCTAAACCCTAGAAGGTAGCCTATGATTATGATTGTTGTTGTGATGACGGGAAAAATGGCGGGCGTGAAACACACGTCCACGTCATTGATACAGAGTGAAATTTAGATGCATAAAATAAAAATAGAATCAAACATTGTAGGTACTTTATTTCGAGAACTCTTACATTTACATAAAAATTCTGTTAATTACAACTCCAAAGAGAAAACACCTGATTAAGAATTCCAACATTTCTATTACATAGGATTATCACATGCCTATTACAATATGCTACAATAAAATAAAATGAAAGGAATCCTCCTCGCGATGGACGCTGAACTCCGGCCTTGGGGAACTTGAAGTTTATCCACGTAGGTTTTCTTCAATGACATTATGTTTGATATGATGTCATATGTTTCTTTACCATGCATGGAACATACTTTGTTCGTGCTCGACCTCATTTATGTTATGGTGTAAATGAAGGTTGATTTTGGTGAGGCTTAATCTGGCCCCATATTTGGATGCATATATTTTCAATATTTGTAACTCACGTCATGGAATTCATATAGGAGAACCCATGCTTAGAGCATTTTATATGTCCCCCAATCACAACATGTCTATGTGAAGAAAAATATGCATACTTGATTTGAACCACATGGCCAAAACTGAGGACATATCTACATGAAACATGTGAATCCCCGATTTCACGTAGATCCAGATTCCTCAATCCGAACCCAAAAGGGCCGAACCTAAGGGCATGATTTTATGGGTTTATATTCCTTGATTCGAACCACAAGGCCGAACCTAAGGACAATGTTTTATGAATTATATTCCTTGATCCGAACCACAAGGCCGAAACTAAGGGTTTAATTTTATGTGTTTTATGTTCCTTGATCCGAACCAAAAGAATGGCTAAAACTAAGGGTATAATTTTATGAGTTTTATGTTCCTTGATCCGAGCCAAAAGAATGGCCGAAACTAAGGACATGATTTCATGATATGCATTTTCCTTGATCCGAACCAAAATGGCCGAAACTAAGGACATGATTTCATGATATGTATTTTCCTTGATCCGAACCAAAATGGCCGAAACTAAGGATATGATTTCACGGCATGTATTTTCCTTGATCCGAACCAAAATGGCCGAAACCAAGGATATGATTTCATGATATGTATTTTCCTTGATC